TTTTGTGCCCGTGCCATATTCCGCTGGCAGCGGAGCTTGGTTCGATCCGGGGCGCTGTGGCTTTGGGGAGCTCCAGGGTGCGATCCGGGAGTTTGAGTTTTTGTTTGTGATTTGGTGAGAGTGAGTTCCGGTGCGACGGGGCTTGAGCCTGTGGGTGTGCGACCTGCAAGACAAGGAGATGCGGTCTTACTACGAGTCGTTTGGTGCAGCGCTGGGTGAGGATTCGAATGGGGAATCGAGCCCGGCGGAGGACCAGGGTTGGGGAAGGGCAGGACGCCATTCTCCAGAGAATGCTGGCACGGGCGGCATCTCAAGCGACTCGAGGGACCGCGAGGAGAGCGAGTCCTGGAGTCGGGGCGCGAGGACCCCGATGAGGCAGCCGGCTTGGGATGGCTGGTCAGAGGATGGCTCCTGGCAGGGGCAACGAAGTTCGTGGATGGAGGAGGACTTGCAGAGCAACGAGAACTGGTCCAGGAAGTACGGCCGTGACCCGGACCAGCAGAGCACCGAGAACTGGAGCTGGACAGATGGTCCGGGAGATGAAGAGGGGGGAAGAAGTATGGAGAATTGGAGCTGGAAGACTGGATATCCGGGCAGCGGGGCTGGCTGGAATGGCCGGGCGAAGGCGTGGCAAAGTGCGGCCGCGGGTCGAGAAAGCGCGGCCTACTATGTCAGGGAGTATGAGAATGACGAGCCCTACTACCAGGACCAGCCCGAGGAGGACAAGATTCGCGACCGGAAGGGAGAAGTTAAGGTGGTCGGGGAAGACACGATTCTCGAGAAGGAGAAGAAGATAGGCGGCCGCGTGTCGAGCACTTACCCGCCAACGTTCCGGGCGAAGCCGCAGGAGAGCTATGCCGAGTGGCGGCGGGCCGTGGAGTTCTGGATTGGAGGGGAGGGCAGCCAACTCCCTCCCGAATTGATCGGGCCGAGAATGATGGTCCAACTTCGGGACCGAGCGGCCCAACTCGTGAAGAGGCTTTCCAATGCAGATGTCAATGGCCCGGACGGCAAGGAGGTGATTTTTCGCGAGCTTGAGAAGAGCCCCCTCATCAAGCAGGTGGACAAGCACAAGGTGGATGAGCACAGGCGCCGCTTGATGCAGCTTAACAGGGCCCCCCACGAGTCTGTCGAGAGCTATATCACACGAGCCTCCTTGTATAGGGGGCAGCTCCTGGGCCTTGACAGCTCCTTGGCCATGGGCGAGGCGTTCTATGTGGGGCACTTGCTGGACCATGCCCACTTAAGCCGCAGAGACCGAGCAATGATCAAGACCAAGGCCGGGACGGACACAGACGAGCACTTGGTTACGAGTGCTATGGTCGAGTTGGCGTGCGAGCTGGAGGGCGAGCCGGGTTACCCTTTGGGCATGTCGGAGCCGAACATAGCTCGGAATGGAGAAGAGTGGATGCTACAGCGGGGTGATCAGCGAAGCCGTTTTCAAGGACAAGGTCCAGGCCGGGGCGTGAGTGGAGCCCCGGGAAGCAGAGCTGCACGCCAGTCCTTCGCGGCTGACTGGGAGGAGGTCGTGGAGAGCCCCTTCCCCGAGGAGGGCGAGGACTCGCTGGATGAAGGTGATGCCCCGCCCGAGTTGCTGATGAAGGAGAACGAGGCGTTCGGCATGCAGTACAAGGCCAAGCAGAAGATCGCGGAAGTGAAGAAGCTGAGGCAGTACTACCGCAAGCCGGATAATGATGCCAAACGCAAGGCCCTCGCGGAACAGATGAAGGTGAACCCCTGTCACAACTGTGGGGAGCTTGGGCACTGGAGTCGTGAATGCCCATTGCCTCCCAAAGGTGGTGGACCGAATGCGGGGCCAAAGGCTCAGCAAGCTTTTGTGGCCCGAGCCCGGGTGATGCCAGCCGTTCAGGAGGAGCCGGCAGATCGTGAATGGGATCTGTTGCTTTCGATGTGCCGCGGGGAGCCACAGCGCTCTCCTGACTTGAGCTCGGGTTCTCGCTCGCAGTACAAGGGCCCTCGGCATCACGCTGTTCATCATGTTGTGCATCACGTTGGCATGAGCATGAATGAGGTCGAGGGTTATGATGTGCTGTGGTCAGTGAAAGAGCTTGCCTTCAAGATCATACTGGATATTGGGTGTATGCGGTCGGTGGCTGGGGTGCAATGGGCAAATATGCTGGTGTCTCGTTGGAAGGAGGAGGGGAGATGGCTACGGGTGGAACCTGAACGAGAAACCTTCAAGTTTGGGGGCGGGGAGGTCCTAGTGAGTCGCTTTCGAGTCTCTTTCGTCGGGAGCTTTGCGGGGCGTCCGGTCCTCTACGGCTTTAGCATCGTCGAGGGCGATTGCCCGCCCCTCTTCTCGAGGTCAGGATGCACGCAGCTGGGGGCCACCATAGACTGCGAAAGGCACGCTGTATCGTCACGCAAGTTGGGGGTGAAGAGTTTTGGGGTGGGCCAGGACAGTGGGCACTACACGTTGTCTCTTGATGAGTGTGAGCCGCATTGCGTGGTATTGCCAGCAGAGTTTCGGATGGATGCCGGTGTGGATGCCATGCTCCTGAGCCCGGCAGTTTTGCAGGACCAAGCGAGTAGCCCCGAGCCTGACTTTCGAGGCGCACATGAGCGCGTCGGCGGCCCCTCGATGCAAGCTGTGCCAGAGCACCGAGCACAAGACGAGAGACTGCCCGACGATCGAGGAGGTCGACTCGAACGACGAGAAGAATGCCCAGGAGATGGACCACGACGGCGACGACCGGCTACGCAGGGCAGCACCACCGAGACCCGAGTCGAAGATGACCGTGAAGGGCCGTCGGGCAACTACGGCGACGAGCTCTCCAGCACCGTCCTCGGAGGGCTACATCTTGGTGGAGGAGGCGACCCAGGGCCTCACCTCGGAGGAGATCCACATGCTCAACAAGAGGAGGGCCAAGCAAGCTGCCTCAAAGGCCCGGGCGGTTCAGAAGAAGGCCTTGACCGGAGTCCATGCGGAGTACCCGTCCTTGTCCCATGCATGGAGCAACGAGGTGGCCCTCAATCTGGTGGCGTCCACGGCGAGCAGGATGAGGACGTACTTGTGGAAGAAGCTGGTCTGGCAAGCACGAGTCAAAGCTGCCGTGGAGGCCGAGGGGAATCGGAGGTGGAAGAGGAACCCTCGGTGGCTGTCGATGTTGCTGGGCAAGGAGGTGGCCTTCCTCTTCGGCCACTTCGGGGCGATGAGGCAGCGAATGCAGGCCCCGGAGACGTGGGGCTTGATGTGAAGCAGGGGGCCAACCGTGTGAGGCCGAACCGGGGTTTGCATCAGAGGATAAAGGCCGGCGTGCGCCAGGCGAAGGAGGCTTTGGCGGTGGTGGAGCGCATCGTGCGGGACCCCGGCAAGAAGTTGCTCCTGGAGATCTTTGCGGGCCAGGCCGGTTTGACAGCGAGGGCGAGGCACACCGAGGGTTGGATGGCGGCGGCCCCGGTGGACCTCGCAACGGGCTGGGATCTCACGGTCAATGCGAACCAGAAGAAGCTCTTGGAGATGATTGACCAGTGCCAGCCCGACCTGGTGACCCTTGAGCCGCCGTGCGGGCCGTGGTGCAGTGGGCCGGAGCTTCTCGCCGAGACCAAGCTGTGGGATCGCCGTCGAGAGCACCTACCTTTTTGGCGGTTAGTCGCCGAGGTGTGGCGACGACAAGTGGCCGGGCGCCGTATGGTCGTGTTGGTGCAGCCGGTCATGTCGCAGGCTTTGAGTCTTAACTTCATGAAGGACCGCGACGAGGTGATCCGCGGGGTGTTGCCGATGTGCAGTTTTGGGCTGTGCGACCCCGAGACCAAGAAGCCCTACATGAAGAAGGTGGTTGTGGAGTCCAACTGTGCCCCGCTGATCCGGTACATGCTTCGCGGGGCTTATTGCACCCACGCAGCGGGCGAGCATCAGCCCATCCAAGGCTTTTGTCGTGGCGAAGGTGGCTGGGTGCGTCGCTCGGATGAAGCAGCCAGGTGGCCGGACAAGTTTTGTGGCAGCATCCTCCAGGCGGCCGAGTATGCAATGAAACAGGTGGGGGAGGCAGGGCCCTGGGCGGTACACGCCGCGACGTGTGGGTCGCAATGGGAGACCTTGGCAGTGTCGAGCTCCACGGTGGCAGATGAAGGGCTACGCCAGGAGCTGGCTAAGCACTCCATGACCGGGGAAAGGTACGACTTTGTCTGCTTTGACGGGGCGGCCAACCAACAGCCGCGTCGGTTGCGGGCCCTGGTCGCGCATCTGCATGTGACCCTTGGGCACTTGTCGAATGAGAGGCTGGGTCGCATGCTGCGTTTGAGTGGGGCAAGTGAGGCGGCCGTGGCCCTAGCGAACAGTTTGCGGTGCCAGGTGTGCGCCATGACCAGACCGCCCCAGAACACCCCGCAGGTGGCCTATCAGAAGCCGAAGTTCTTTAACGAGCGGGTCTCCGGGGACACCTTCTACGTCTGGGACGCCGACGGCAACAAGTTCGCGGCCACCCACTACTTGGACGCCCTCACGGATTACCAGGTGGCCGACTTGACGGACCGGCCGGACTCAGCCTTTAGCCGAGAAGTGTTTCAGGACCTGTGGCTCGCGGTTTTTGGGCCACCCGACACTTTGGTGACTGATGGCGGCCCAGAGTTCCAAGGGTCAGTGTCAGTGATGCTAGAGCTGATGGGGATCGTGCAGGAGGTGGTCCCCGAGGGTGCCAAGTGGCGACTGGGTCAGGCCGAGCGACACGGGGCAGTGCTAAAGCTCATGGTCATGAAGATGGTGAAGGGCATGGACCTGAAGGGCCTCAAGGATATGAGGCATGCGCTGTTGGCGGCGGTTGCCGCCAAGAACCGCACGCTGAACCGTGGAGGTATCTCCCCGATGCAAGCGGTCACGGGTAGGAACACGATGATCCCGGGCAGCCTCCTCCAACAGCTCACGAGCGGCCAGGTCAAGTTCAAGTACAACGAGGCTGTAGGCCACAGTGAGGCGATTGCCCGGGCGGAGCGGATACGCATTGGGGCGCTGGAGGCCTTCCACTGGCTGGATTCGCATGATGCCTTGAGGCGGGCCTTGGCTTCCAAGTCTCGACCCCCGCAGCTGGAGGGCGTTCGCGAGGGCGCCATCGTGTACGTCTACGATCCCCCGGCCTCGCGTAGAGGCCTGGCTCGGCGCATGCAAGACAACAGCAGCTGGAGTGGGCCTGGGGTCATCGTCTGCGTGGAGCGGGACAGGCCAGTGCCGCAGCGTGTGTGGGTGCGGATCCGAGGCCGGGTGAAGGCCTTTCCTTTGGAGAAGTTGAGGCTGGCCACTGTGGACGAGATGGCAAGCGCCCAGTTTATCACCCAAGCCGTGACGGGTGTCGAGGAGGAGCTGCGAGGCGGGCAGTTGCGGGTGGAACCCGATGATGGAGGCGCACAGTCAGCGGTGCCGAAGGGCGATGGCGGCTCCTCGTCCTCCTCTTCATCTTCAACTGATGCGGAAATGCCGGAGGACGCGAATGACCCCGAGGACCAGGCCCTCCGCGAGCACCGGGCCAAGCTGTTGGATGATCTCCCGCATCAGGTGGCGCGTAACCTCGAGGACAGGCGCAAGCGCGAGGCCGAGGCGGCGATGGACCCCCACACTCTCGACTTCCAGAAGAAGCAGAAGCTGTTCGAGTCCTTGGTGAAACAACTTTCCCCGCCGACCCCCTTGGAGGAGGCCGGACTTCGGAAGCACTTGGAGGACACCTACGCGAAGTTCAAGGGCGTGCGGAAGGCCTTCAAGACCAAGGTCAAGGGTGCCCCCGGGCGGAGTCGCGGGGATGGTGGCCACGAGTCCAAGGCGGAGCGCAGTCGAGTGCGTACGGTGATGGAAGTCAGCGTGGAGGACCTAGCGCCGGGGCTGTTTCGACCAGGCGAGATGGAGGCCCTCGTGAATGACACCCTGGGCCAGTGGTCGCTTTGGGGCGAAGATGCTCCCTATGCGGAGCACGAGATCCTGGTGCAGGTGAGTCAGAAGGCCGCGTCCGCCGAGATGGAGGGCGTCACGGAGGTGACCACGGGGAAGGCCAGAGTGGAGTACCGTTGGTCCTCGTTGGATACCAAGTGGAAGAACGCCTATGTGGAGCCTTTGAAAAAGGCTGTCGGTGTGTACCTGGATCACGACGGCATCAAGGGCGTGGCCAAGGACCAGCTGGTGGACCCCTCCCGAATCCTCAGCTCCCGCTTCGTCCTCACTAACAAAGGGGGTCCTAGCTTGTCCGAGGCAGAACTACGGGCCAGATGGATCTTTGGGGGCCACAAGGATCCAGACGCGGGGTTGTATGCCACTGCGTCCCCTACGGCGAGCACCCTGGGACACAACTTGCTAAACTTTGTAGCAGTGCAGAAGGGATGGGTCGTGCACTACGAGGACGTGAGCTCGGCTTTCCTTCAAGGCAAGGCCCTTCCCCGGACCGAGAAGGTGTACGTGCGAGTGCCCCACGGGTACCCGCCTGAGGTGCTGGACTACTTGACCGAGCGCTTGGGGGGCAACGTGCGTCCGGACCTGGTGGAGCTCACGAAGGCGGGTTTCGGCTTGCCGGAGAGCCCGAGACTGTGGTATCTCGAGTACAAGGACACGATTGAGGAGCTCGGGCTGAAGGAGCTGGCATTGGTTCCGGGGTTGTTCAGGGCCTTCCATGTCTGTGGCGCTCTACGGGCTATGGCTTCGATCCATGTGGATGACACCCGCTACGCTGGAGATGAGAGCAGCCAGGAACTCTGGGACCAGCTGCATGCCAAGCTGAAGTTCGGCAAACTTCGGAAGGCTACTGAGGGCTGGCAGAAGTTTTGCGGGCGCTGGGAAAGACAGTGCCCCCAGACCTTGGAGATGGAGTACTCAATGACGGAATACACTAAGGCGATTCCGTTGGCAAAACTGAGGGACGAACGAGCCGAGCTCAAGCCGACGACTTCTTCGTCTACTACAACTACTTCCGGGGGTGTTTCAAAGGTGGATGGGGTGGCTTCAGCGGCTGAAGGCCGGCCGGCGACTTCAGCGTCTACTACGACTACTTCCGAGGGTGTTTCAGAGGCGGATGGGGTGGCTTCAGCTTTAGGTCCGTTGTCTTCAGATGCCGAGGTGGTCTCTCTACTCTCAGATGCAGTCAACAAGGTGGTGGGTCCTTCCGAAGCCTTGACCGATGGCGAGCGCAAGGTGATCAGCTCGGTGGTGGGTCGATTGAATTGGGCCGCAAGACAAGGCCGCTATGATTTGGCTTTCGTCTCCTCGAGCATTCAGCAGCTGGCCGGACGGGGTGACCCTGCCGCTCTGAAGGTGCTGAACCAGGGGGTGAAGCGTGCCCGCGAGGACATCATCATCCCGATCCGCAACCTGGGATGCGACCTGGACGAGGTGATGATCATCTCTGTCAGTGATGCCGCCTATGGGGCTATGCCTGGAGGACACAGCCAGTCTGGGGTCCTCGTGCTGATGGCCTCTCCAAAGGTGCTCACTGGGACCGCCCCGGTGTGTGCGCTGGAGGGATCTAGTGGCAAGATCCAGCGGATAGTGCGATGCTCGATGTCGGCGGAAGTCAGCTCCTTGGCGACATGCTTTGAGCACGGGGACTTCGTGAGGGCGGTCTTCTGCGAGCTCGTCGACCACAAGTTCCAACTGCGGAGGTGGAAGCTTTCAGTGTCGAGGTGGCCCCACTACCTGGTCACCGATGCCAAGACAGGTTACGACGCCCTGAACAACGACACCCTCCCGACCGACAGGAAGGTGGCCATTGACGTGGCCGTCCTCAGGCAGGCGATCGTCGAGGACGACACCCGCTGCTTTGTTCGCTGGGTCCCGGGTTCTGAGATGCCGTGTGATGGGCTGACAAAGTGGTCGGACAACCACATGCTTCGTCGACTTCTGACTACTGGCACCTGGGCTCTAGTGGACAGTCCTGAAGCACAAGAGCTTCGTAGGCAAGCGGGCCTCAAGCGCGCAGCTTGGAGGAAGGCTGCCAAGTTGAACATGTCGCAGCA